CAGCGGCCCGAACCTGGGTAAAAATTCCGTCATGTTGATCATTAGATCCGCTCTTTGCTCTACCCCTCTTCCCTGCCAACCCGTAGAAGGGATCCACGTGATCCCGTAGGTGTTGTCCTTTGCACCGACAGTAACGCCTTAAGTAAGATGACATAATGTAGAGGGATAAACTCAAGCAATATGATGAAAGATCCATCTTTTTATCCTCGATGGCAATAATGCAATACGTGTCTTGCTACCCCTACTTTGTCACTGGGTGAAATCACGCAGGATTGAACCCAAAACTAAGCACCTCTCCCATTGCAAGAAAAACCAATCTAGTTGGCTAAACCAAACTGATAATTCAAAGAGACATACAAAGATATCAAATCATGCATATAAAGAATTCAGAGAAGATTCAGATAATATTCATAGATAAGCTGATCATAAATCCACAATTCATCAATCTCGACAAACACACCACAAAAGAAGATTACATTGGATAGATCTCCAAGAACATCGAGGAGAACATGGTATTGAGAATCAAAGAGAGAGAAGAAGCTATCTAGCTACTAGCTATGGACCCGTAGGTCTCAGGTAAACTACTCACATTTCATCAGAAGGGCAATAGGGTTGATGTAGATGCCCTCCGTGATCGAATCCCCCTCCGGTAGGATGCTGGAAAAGGCCCCAAGATGGGATCTCACGGGAACAGAAGGTTGCGGCGGCGGAAAAGTATTTTTGGTGGATGCCTCTGAGGGTTTTGGAATATATGTGAATATATAGGACGAAGATCTAGGTCAGGGGACTCCCGAGGGGGCCACAAGGTAGCCCCCCCTAGGGCGTGCCTCCACCCTTGTCACCGCCTCGTGGGCCTTCTGGCTTGGACTCCAAGTCCTCTAGGTGTCTTCTGGTCCAAGAAAAATCATCGTAAAGTTTTATTCCGTTTGGACTCCGTTTGATATTCCTTTTCTACAAAACTCAAAAATAAGGAAAAACAGAAATTGGCACTAGGCTCTAGGTTAATAAGTTAGTCCAAGAAATAATATAAAATAGCATAATAATGCATATAAAACATCCAAAACAGATAATATAATAGCATGGAACAATCAAAATTATAGATACGTTGGAGACGTATCAGTGCATATAGGTGAGCCTAGTTGTTTTAGGTTTTGTGTTTGACAAATTAAACGCTAGTTTTATTCCGCATTTGTTCAAGCCTAAACCGTAATTATTTAAAGCGCTTATTCATCCCCCCTCTAAGCGACATCCACGATCTTTGACTTGGGCTGAGGGTTGAACATTCACGACTTGTAGCTTACGCCAAGAGCTAAGAGCACCACAGAATAGGGTATTACCTCCACCGAACAGGGCCCGAACCTGTATAATTCCCTGTGCATACTCATATCAGCATTCTTCGGTAGATACGATTGCCTCTACATTCCTATCCCCGTAGTATTGTCAGGATTATATCCACGATAGCCACTTTGCGCTCCAGGCATCACTTTTCCTTGGACACTTTGCCTATGGTCGAAAGGAGCTTCAACTAGCCAGGCTGCATCTTGCGCTGGATTGCATAACTGTTGGTAAAGGGCCTCGATCTCCCCATCATTGAGTTCCGCCACGGCACTTTCCTCACTTCCCATGAAGCTATAATCTGGCGTGTCGACCGTGTAACATCCTGGACCTAGGTCACCTGCCACGGGCGTAAAGGCGTCATGGATGGCACCGTTATTGCGGGCCGCTCAAGAAAAAGTTGTGAATGTGTTTCCCATCTCAAAGAAAAAAAGATAAAAAAACATCACCTTCATCTTAATTTTTTTAAAGAAAATCTCGCATCATGTGAACATCACATCCATCTAAAAAAAACTAGAAAACAATTATCAAAAAAAAAGAAAAAGGCTCACTTCCCTCTTCTAAAAATAATCTCCATAAAAATAAAATAAAAAATCTCACCGTGGCCAACCAGCATGCGCCAAGTTGCATAGCTGGCTGGCCGCTCTTTCACTGTGCCTTAATGGGTTTGGCAATTTTGTAAATAAAAAAAGGATAAGTGGAAAAGAAAGCATGGAACTGGATTAGTGCCTCGCTTGTCCTGTGACCGGGGGAATCTTTGCTGCCTTGGGACAGAAGGGAAAGGGATGCATCGATTGGAGGGAGCATGGCATGGTGCTAATCATGCGCGGCTGCCCTCGCAGAATCCACAACCTTTTGCGCTGCCACAAGACAAACAAAAGTGATCAACAGTGCGCCTAGTGTCTAGTGCTACCTCACGGTTTAATAGTTTCTGTTTCTGAAATTCCATGGTTGCTTCATCGAACATGAAAAACAAAGATGGAACATGGAATGCTTAGGCCCGGCCCTGCCCCTGCGACGTGATTCCAGTTGTTTCTGGATGGAAGTGCCAGTCAATCTCCCCCAAATCTCTCGGCTGTCCCGACTTGCACGTTGGTGATCTCCATCATCTCCTCCACCAGGGACGACAGACCTTTCGGTCTCGAACATGCAAGAACTTGTCGACGGACATTGAAACATATGGATTCTTGCGGGTGTGTGTTTAGGACTTACGAGTGGCCATTTGCTGCTGTGGTTGTGGACCACGGGGAGGGTAGAAGACCCTCAAGAAAAGGCCAAAAGCACAGTAGCCAACGGTGGTTGATATTTGTAGTATAACAAGAAACACGCGGATTACCATTTACCGTCCCCTCACTTTCTCTGTCCAAAAATCTTCTCCTCTTATCTTTTCTTCTACGCGAAACTTTTAATTTATTTATCTTCAATCATGGCAGTATAACGAACATCATATAAAATAAAAATTACATTCAAATCCATAGACCATCTAGCGACGACTATAAACACTGAAGCAAGCTGAAAGCGTGCCATCGTCATCACCCCGTTGTCAATTAGTTTGGCGGAGAGGGACATAGAGAATCAAAATCAAGAGCCTATCAATCAATAAAAATGGAAAATTAGTTGGCTATCGATCGCTAGCCTACCCCTTCCTACTCCCCTCCCAAGCGAACAAAAGATTAGGATTCCTGCCTACAGTCGGCGGCAACACCGATTTAATTCATCTCCTGTGGCGTAAGGGCCATGGGCGTGTGGTGGATCCCGACCACTGTCGTCGGGAAGGCTCAGTTGTTAGATGTTTCTTTGAATCTGTTAGGATTTGTGTTCTGCTCATGAAAGTGAGACGACGGCGTCTCCCTGAAGATGGAATAAGATTTTCCCTGCCTAGCCCCCATCTCAGTGGTGCTTCTAGCATCGTCGGAGCCCGTGTGGAGGTATGTTTCACGAGATTTAGTTGGTGGTGGTCTTTGATGGATCTGCTCCTAACAACAAGTTTTGCCCAGCCCCGACGAGGGAGGGAGGGGGGTGATGACGACACCACACCTTCGGCTTGTTTCAGTGTACAACCTGGCTAGGTGGTGTCCCGGATCTGAATGTAACTTTACTGTTTGTTGTACTGGCATGATCGTAGATGAATACTCCCTCCGTTTCTAAATATAAGTCCTTTTAGAGATTTCAACAAGTGCCTACATACGGAGCAAAATGAGTGAATTTATAATCTAAAATATGTCTACATACATCCGTATGTTGTAGTCCATTTGAAATGTCTAAAAAGACTTATATTTAGAAACGAAGGAAGTAGATTGGAATCATGAAACGCAACGGCCCTGGTGATGGGTGTTGCCTGCTCTGCGGGCCTGAAGAGGACTCAAACCATATCTTCTTCTCCTGCGTATCCGCGCAGTTCCTCTAGAACTATTTCCGTGAGATAGTGGGTGGAAGCTGGGACCACAATAACTTTCCCGCCTTTTTTGCCGAACTCCAGGCGTTAGCACCTCCGGCTCGCCACATTAGGTGGCTGATCATTGGGGTGCTTGCCTGGACGCTGTGGACTGTTAGGAATAAGCTTGTGATTCAGCGTATCCCTCTTCGTCGCGCTACTGATGCTTTGTTCAAATGGTCTGGTTACTTTTTTCTCCGGATGGCTCCGCCGCTTTCCCCACCACCGGAGCCGGATTAGATCTTCTCTACTTCGCCGCCACCGCCGTTTATGTGTTGTGCATGTCGTGTGTGTATGTTGGGCTTGTTGTGCTGTGCCCACAGCTGAACCTGGGTGTTGTGTGTTTGTGTGTGTGTTGGATTTTGCCTGCGGCGGCGTTGTGTGTGTTGTTCGGTTGGTACCTTGATAACTTTGTGCCCCGTGGTTGCTTTATTTATAAAGCGGGGTGAAAAAAAAATTGACGACGGGAAGGTTTGGTAAAAAAAAATACAATGCAGCCAAGCCAAAGTGCATTCGGGCCTGCTGGGTCTGGGCCCACAGCCTGGCTGCCTTCCTCCTCCCCCCTCCCCGTCTCCTTTCCGTTTGGTGTCCTTTTCTCCATAGGAAGCTGTGAAGCCCACCCAAATCCACACCACGGCAGGACTACTAGTACTAGTACACCGAGCCAAAGAAGAGAATGTTCTTGGATCCCCTTCCCTGCCTGCCACAACATTCCTACTCCCCCACACTTCCAGTCCCCATAAACAAACAAACCAACAAACCACTGGTCATCGACCTCTCTTCCTCATCTTCTTCTTCCGGGACGGTCTATTCCTTCGTTGAGTCGGGATCTTGGGCGGCAGAATCCAGGAGTAATTCGGCGGGTGGGCTTAGTTAGGTACCACAGTTATCCAAAGGTCCGCCGGCCCTTCTTTTCCACGTCTCCAGAGGTCGCCGGAATCTCTCCTCACCAGTGGATGTGCAATCTCGTGCGTCCTCTCCGCGTAATCTGGGCGCCCTTCGCCTTCCACATCGCAGCAACGTCTCGGGGGATTTTGGGCTAGATTGAGGTTTTGCGTGCGTGTTCCTGTGTGGGGAAAGTGCTTTCCTTTTCTATTTTCTTTCCCTTGGTTTCTCGAGGATTTGGTTCTGGTGTGTGCGGGGGGGCGGAATCTTTCTCTGCCTTTGATCCCAAGGAACCGGCCGCCTCGTTCATGTAGTGCGGCGTCCGCTGGAACCTGGGACTCCTAACATGGCCTGCCTCAAGCTGGGATCAAGGGCTGATGTATTCAGGAAGCAGGGTCAAGACTGGTATGAACAGCTTCTCTCTCTTTCTTCATTTCCCCCAACATGATCCTCTGCCATGTCTAGCCTGCACATTTCCTCATGGTTGCAAATGACAATTTTAACATCTTATTAAAGTTGCTTCACCTTTTAATACGTGCAATGTTTTCATTACTTGCTCTATTTGCTGCCATAATTACCACCGTAGACATTGGAGTGTTTGTCTGTGTGAGGTTGGGCACGATAGGAAATGTACCTGCCATTACTTCTTTCAGGAATTAGAAAAATAATTGAATAGGTGCCATATGTGTGTACTAGAAGCTCCCATGCATCATCCATGGCCCAACCTCTTCCTGTTGGCCTCATCTGGGGTACTGATTATAATATGCTAACCAACTCCTTCTGGATGGAAGGCTCTAATCAAAACATCGAGCCCAGGCCAGCTAGGAAAACTACAACCGTTTTTGTTTTTAAGCTGATGCAACTTTCTGGGAGGACTCACTACCAGTTATTTACCTAAAGACAGCCTGTTAATCAATATCATTATGCTAAGGCTGTCATTTCGATGCATTCAATGCTCGTACCATTTGGACGACTTCATCTATTCGTGGAAAAATGGAACCTACCTTTTATACTACCATTTTTGGGTGTTATTGAGATCAAGGCAGTGGTGGGTAAATGGAGCAGAATGCCTGTCCTGGATTAGCATTTATTCCCCCTTTCCATGAGAAATATTGTCTCGCTCTCGCCTGACTTTTGGGACCGGCCGTTCTTATGTTCAGTACTTGCTGGAGCTGCACATGTTGGACACTAAATGTGCCATATTGATGCCTCCAAATTCTGTTCTCTCGTCACAATCATGCCGAGCATTACTCCGTCAGATACCGGTCCTGGAATATGTAATAAACTGCTACAAATCTGAAACTTGAGATTTTTTTTATCTTTTGGGTTACGGTTAGAAGGCTTATAGCTAATCTCTTATTTGGTCTCTTGTATCCTATTTAAGTGCAATCTTTTTTTAGAACCAACTTTATTAGGCACATCACTTGATCAACACTTCTAAATACATCTAAACTGTATTTACAAGAGAGAGAAACAATTGTGACATATGAACTTTGATTATTATTTTCAATTCTGACCATGGATATTTTAGTGCATGTTCTGTGTGCATACAGTCTAGAAATTAGGAAGTCAATCACATTAATGTGCCTTGGAGCTGGTCGTGATCAATGTTCAAGATATCGGTAACTAGTACCATATCGTTCGGGTGCTGAGTAGTGACAAATAGGCGAATTTTCCAGTTAATTGGCCAAGAAATCAGTTAATCGGCTGTTCGGTGACCCACCGAGTAGCGATTAACTGACCGAGATGCTGGTTGAACACATGGCCAATATTTGGAACAATATTCATGATAACACATGGCCTTTTTATCCCTAAATTTTTCAACTTAATGAGACAAGCTAGGGCTGATGTAAGATGTTGATATTCAGCTGGATTATGTAGTGCATTAAGTTTAGTTCACTCCGTTGATGAGCTCAAAGATCACCAAAGTATACCATGTTTTTCCAAGAAGCAAAAATGCTGGAACATGTAGGAACAATTACATGTTGAAATAGTAGAAAAGAAATAGGGATAGACATGGAGGGTAGTGAGTTTGTACATCTACCCCCACCCAAGCGAGGCTCAATTGCTACATTGAGCTCATGTTCACTTTAGAATAGATGGCCGAACTAAATGCAGCTCATTCAAGCTCTGCATGATTGTGTACAACAAACTAAAATTATCTATAATATTATCTCATGTGGTTTGGCTGGAATAATTTTCCCACTTATATTCATGTACTTCCTCATGCTCTACAGTTATAACTTATAACTGTGTAAGCACACTATTTTATATAAACTAAATTGTTTGAACAGAAAATTACTAATGGAAATATGTTTGTTATGTAGGTATTGCACTACTGGCCTTCCCAGTGATATAACTGTGGTGGTTGGGGAACAATCTTTTCATCTCCACAAGGTAAAAAATTCACTAATAAGTTCACTAAGGCTTTCATGTGTTTTCACACAATTTTGTTAGCATTGTGCGATTTTTACTTTGATTCTGGGAAACTTCTAGTACCAATATGTGCATACTACTCTGTCCATCCCAAAATAAGTGTCTTTGATTTAGTACAACTTTGTTTAGAGACAAAAAATAGATGTAAATGTCTGCGGAGGATGAAGTAAATTACCTTGTAACAATTGATATCTGTTTTACAGTTTCCTCTATTATCAAAGAGTGGCCTTCTGGAACGTCTCATCAGAGAGAAAATTGAGAAGGGAGAAGATAGCTGTGCCATTGATCTATCTGATATTCCTGGGGGAGCAAAGGCTTTTGAACTAGCTGCTAGGTTCTGCTATGGTGTGAAGTTTGAATTGACTTCCTCCAATGTTGTGCACCTTCGCTGCGCTTCTGAGTATCTTGAGATGGCTGAAGAGATCGCCGAGGGAAATTTGATTGCGCAGACAGAGAACTTCCTTACCCAGACAGTTCTCAAAAGCTGGAAAGATTCAATCAAGGCACTTCATACTTGCGATGACGTCATTGATCTTGCTGAAAAATTGCAAGTTGTGAAGAAGTGCATAGACTCAGTTGCAACTAAATCAAGCACTGATCCCGATGTATTTGGCTGGCCTGTCGCCCAGTATGGTGGTCCCACACAGAGTCCTGGAGGGAGCTTCTTGTGGAATGGTATTAGCACTGGAGCAAGGCCAAGAAATTGCAGTTCAGATTGGTGGTATGATGATGTGTCATGCTTAAGCCTTCCATTATACAAGAAGGTAATCTCAGCTATGGAATACCGAGGCGTCAATCAGGACATTATTGTTGGATCCCTTAACCATTATGCCAAAAGGCGTTTACCTGGTCTGAATCGGCGCAAAAGCATTAGTGATGTCAGTAACTGCCTTTCAGTGTCAACTTTAACCACCATGCCTTCTGAAGAGGAGCAAAGGTATCTTCTTGAGGAGATTGATAGGCTGTTACCTTTCCAAAGGGGTGTTACATCTTGCAAGCTGTTATTTGGCCTTCTGCGCACAGCGATCTTCCTTAAAGCCAGCTCATCCTGCATGTCCAACTTGGAGCGTCGGATAGGTTTGCAGCTTGACAAGGCCACTCTGGAAGATCTTCTGATAACAAACATGTCTGAATCCATTGAAATGCTCTATGATGTGGATTGCGTACATAGGATTCTTGACCACTTCTTGGCAATGGATCAAGAAACTGGTGGAGCTTCTCCTGGCATTGGCGAAGATGGGCACCTATTGGCTTCTCCATCTCTATTGCCGATTACTATGGTTGCTAAGTTGATCGACGGCTACCTAGCTGAAGTTGCACCAGATGCCAACCTAAAGTTGCCAAAGTTTGTGTCTTTGGCTGCCGCCATACCAGACTATGCTCGGCCAATAGATGATGGACTTTACCGCGCCGTTGACATCTATCTGAAGGTAAACACTCTTTTATTTCTGCTCCCTGTTTCCAATGACACAATAACACACCGGTAGGTGAATTCTTTTGCATATCCTAAGTCAGGCAAATCATGATTAGCATCCATAACTTAGTTCTTCCTATCCTTGTAACTTCTTGTCGAGTTATATTTGAAAGGATTGGTGGATAGCTGTTCTGTTTTCAGTTCCAAAACCTTTTCTCAGTAAAACTAGATAGTACAGTAAAGGTTTGTGATCATTCAGCTTGCGCCGCAGGATAAATAGGTTATTGAAGAAATAGTAGAGTAGGTTCAGAAACATTATTTAGGTTGCATGAAGGTGGTGCTTACTGCTTACTATTCTTCCTTTTACCTTCTGTTAACGAAGCTTATAGATAGTAATGTTTGATCTGTAATATTTGATATGGCATCGACAGGTAGCTAGTAATGTTTGATGTGGCATCAATCATAAGTTCACCTTGCTAATGTTTGTTTATGTTTTGTTTCTGCTCCTGTACATAGGCGCATCCCCATCTGTCGGAATCGGAGAAGGAAGAGCTTTGCCGGGTGATGGACTGCCAGAAGCTCTCTCTGGAGGCTTGCACCCACGCGGCGCAGAACGAGCGTCTCCCCCTGCGGGTCATCGTGCAGGTCCTCTTCTTCGAGCAGCTGCAGCTCCGGAGCTCCATCGCGGAGTGCCTGATGATCTCCGAGAACCTCGAGGGCGGATCGAGGCAGCTTGGCATGCCAACCTCTAGTGAGCAGCACCGTGGCGGTGTCGGCTGGCCCCTGGCCGCCAGGGAGAACCAGGCCCTGCGCGAGGGCATGGACGGCATGAAGCAGCGGGTGGCCGAGCTGGAGAAGGAGTGCTCCACCATGCGGGAGGAGATTGCGAGGCTGGGCCGCAGCAGGAGCGCCGGCAAGGGCAGGCTGTTCTCCCTTGGCACAAGGCCGCAGATCTGCAGCACCGCCAAGGATGCTACCCCCGCGAAGGTGACAACGGCGAGCGACGACGAGAGGCTGGCTGTGGTGAAAGTTGATGCCACACCCCGGCTGAAGCTGAGCAGACACAAGAAGAACCTGTCCATAGAGGCCTAGCAACATCGCTTGTGTTACTCTGTACTCTGAGTTTGGTGTTTTGCCGGTGAACTTGTTAGATGCTTTTTACATACCACCACCACCTATGAACGAAGAACTGAAAGAAGAAAATGAGTTGTTGAGACCTCATTCTAAGTTTTTGACAGCCACCCTGTATATTACGCACGCATGGCCATGGTGGCAGCGGTAACATCTTGTATCATGTGTCTCGTCTCTAGGATTGCTAGTTCATCTTGATTAATGTGTCCCGTCCCTATCGGTAGTGGTAGGCAGTCCTCCCTAGATGTGATCGGGATATTTGCCCACTTCTTTTATTTTACTTTACGAGCAAGGCAGGAGCTCTGTGGATTTCATTAAGAGAAAAAAGTAAATACAGAGCTACCGGTTTATAAGAAAAACCAAGGCCGAAAATCAACATGAACCAACACCGAACGCAACACAAACAGGCCAACACCATCTAAGGGCATTTCTAACCGAATCCCCAATAACTGGTTAGAGGAGTAAAAATGCGCCAGCACCTAGACGATCCCCAATCTGCCTTAGAGGAGGATAAATTATCCTCAGCCGCCGCGGTACGGATCCGTGCCGCCATGCCCGATCCGCCGGCCCCCGCCCGGTTCGCCGACTTTCTGGACCTCGCTCCGTCACGGGCGCCGCAGAGGACATACATTGGCGTCCGACAGCGCGCGCGGGGGAGATGGGTAGAGAAGATCACCGACCGGTAGACCCACACGAGGAAGTGGGTCGGGTCGTTCCACACGGCGGAGCTCGCAGCGATGGAATATGACTGGTGGCAAGTCCGGTTCCATGGCGCCACCGTGAGGCTCAACTTCCCGTTTGGGACGGCGCCGGTCCACCTCGTCCTACTGGCGCCGGGTGTGGTGAGTGCGGCGATGGCTCGGGATGACCGAGAGGCGAGGGAGCGCCTCAAGGCGGAGGCCGTTGACAAGGCATACATGGTGGACCTCCGCCGTTAGCACCCCAAGCTCGTGGAGGCGAAGCGGGCGATATTCACCGACAATGGCGGGAAGGTCATCGTCATCTCCAACGATGAGGTGCAAGGCGGCGAGGAGGAAGGCATGGAGGAGTAGGAGTTCGACCTCAAGGAGTGGCGGCCCGGATCCATGTCTCACCAGCGGTGGCCTGTTGAGAAAGATTGGCTCGACCTCCACTATGGCCGATGAGTAGTCTACTGTAGTTTAAATTTAAATTTATGTTTAATGTTCGATTGTCAAAACTATATTGAATTTATGTTTAAATGTATGCAAATTTCGGTTGAAACTAGGTTAAATTTATGCAAATTTATATTTTACTTCGCTAAGTTTAGTGGATCGGTTAGAACCGATCAAAACTTGGTGGAGCATAACGGCTCCTTTGATTCAAAGGAATTTCATAGAATTTTTAAAGGGTTAGAATCCTTAGGATTTTTTTTCCTATGTTGATCGTTTGATTCACATGATTGAATTCTATAGGAATTTTCCTATGAAATCAAGTGAACCACATTTCATTGAAAATCAAGCATCCACTCCAAAAAAATTTACAATTTTTTTGTTTTTTCTATAGCATCAAACACTCTATGCAAATCTTATAGAATTCAAGTGGACATGCCACTCAAATCCTTTTTATTTTCTATTCCTACGTTCTGAAAATCCTTCAAATCAAAGAGGGCCTAAAGATTTACTTGAATGGAGATTATTTTTTAGGGATTAGCTAGAAATGCCCTAACATGACTAGAGCGATAGTAAGCAAGATATATGAAGGCGCCTTCAAGAAAGGAAAACGATGCGTGAGGGCACAGTCATCACCGGCATCGACCTACTTCTTTCAGGTGACACGGCTCGAGTTGCGGGATGCCAGGACCTACTCCCTCAGTTCCAAAATAGATGACTCAACTTTGTACCTCACACGTGATTTGTACGTTCCTCGTAGGTGGTTCACTTGCCCACTTGCCGTTGATCGCCGATCTCAGCGTCCACTCTTCCTCCGTACAGTTCGTGAAGGTTTGACAATGGGGCTCTGCCGTGGGACTCGATCACGTGCAACTCGCACCGGTTATGATGAGTGCACGTGCCATCTACTCTAGTTATAAGCCAACCCAAGTACTCAAAATGCAATTACCAACAACCAAATATTATCGGCTGCGACATTTTTCAGCTGATCATGTAAATATCTTGTTACAGAACCCGCATGCAAGTGCGAAGTTTCGTCACACGTGATGTGGGGAATGATCAACCACACAATTTTCAATCAATCCCTGAAACAGATGCGGCGTAAAGAAATCAGAATCAACAGATATCCATCTACCCGGTCCGGCATGGTACCCAAGTTCATGGTTCATCTGGAGAAAATTCCCAGGTTGGCGTGCTGATCTTGGGAGTTCTTGACAGGGTCATCTGAAATTCCCACACGACGGCATACCCTTTGGCGTCGTGAAATCCATGTTAAGAACGACACTGGCTTGGCCCTGGCCCCCTACATCTATATTTCCTAGAGTAGAACTATTGGGACATTGGGGTCCTTCTCATTGGCTTCAGCAGATTTCTTACTGCCTCGCTTCTTCTGCTTGTTCTTGAACCTGAATTGCTCTTTCTTGTTCTTCTCCCAACTTTTCTTGTGCTTCTTGTAAATGAACATTGCTGCGCGAGCATCCTCAATCTATACGGTTACCAAAATCACCATGCAAACTAGTTATGGACACAACTAATATGAGCAGGAAAGTGTTAGACTAGGATAATGAATTTTCAGTCTACTAGCAAGTGGCTATGTGAACGAGTGGTAAGCTATGGATCACAAGAACCAATCACATAGTTGATAAACAAGACAAATTTCATAATAAGCCCCTGGTCTATTTGCGTTTGTATAATCAAGCACTCAACATTAAATGTTGTTTAGTAAGCTCCTGAATCATTCTAGTTCAACTTAACACAATTTGTTGGCGCGACACTGATTTATTAGTCATTGAAGCAAAAGAGGATTGGAATGGGCTAAAATAAACCAAAATATACTGTTGAGGGGCTCAAAACTGAACTCGAGGCTTAAACACCATATAAAAATACATTATGAGTACAGTATCACACATACCGGGCAGTGCTCTTGCTGCTGTATCTTAACAGAAAGTTCTTGAGCAGCAAGATCTTTCAACGATCTCCGCTTGCCCTCCCTAAATTGAAACACATGTCACTACAGTGCTAAGCAATCTTAGTAAGAGTAGATATTTAGAAGACCATCTAACCGTCGGAAAACCTCATATTCTGAGGTGTCTCTTATGTCCTTTTTTGGGTGGCCTAGTAGCAGGACCTGGCAAAGATTGTACCACATTAGACAACATAACAAAGTGCTTCACGAATGGGGTTAAGATCCGTAACAACCTTAAGATCATGGTGTAAGGCATGTCCAACAAGAACCCTTCCTGTGATAAGCTCAGCTATATCCTTCTGAACGATCGAGAAATCTTTGGCTGTAGTATCATAAAATGGTGTTGCATGACCCATGCAAATAGCAAACCTCAACAGAAAAATATAATAACACATAGTGCTAATATACTAATGACATTACCTTTATTCATGTGCTTAGGTCTAATCCCACTAATATGGGTACGGTAGTCCACAATTCGCTCCATTGGTCGCACATATTCATCATATACTACGTTGCCAAAGGAATTAACCTAACAGAAAGCAGAATAACATTAGAGGGTACGAATATACTAAGAAAAGTATTTCAGCATATGAACTCCAATACATAGACCTCCCTCTCTTCATCGTCCTCCAATACACACTGTACTCTACATCTACTTTGTCCACCACCGCCGGCACATACCACCGGAACCCTACACCAGGTGCTCCCCACCACCGTCATTTGATCCCCGCTGATAATGACGAGTGCAACTGCATCAACATGTACCACACACATGACCCACCTCTCTTTTCCCACTCACACGACCCACCTTTCTCCACTCTCGTGTAACCCAGCTGGGTACCTCACTGCTCCCCTCTCTCCACGACACGTGGATCTCGCCGGGCTGGAGCCAGGCTCCAATGACGCCACTACCAAACCATGGCTAGGCTCACACGTGCCACCGCTATCAGGGAGGGATCCTCACTGCTCCCCTTTCTCTACGACACGTGGATCTCACCGGGCTGGAGCCAGGCTCCAATGACGCCACAACCGAACCATCGCTAGGCTCACACGTGCCACCGCTGTCAGGGAGGGACCTCATTGCTCCCTTCTCTCCATGACACGTGGATCTCGCTTGACTGGTGCCGGGCCCC